ATATTTGGGAAATCCCTCAAGGTTTCGAGGATAATCGTAACAATATTGTAATTGTTTAAAAAGGTGGCATCTCTATTGAAAAATAAATTTATTACATGGAAGACTTTTTCATTTAAAATATTCTAAGTTCGTTCTTTTTTAACAATTGAAACACTTAAGGTATTTCACAAATTTTACCTTTTTTGATAGCTGGTAACCCTGCTAAAAATTTTCTCTATAAAATTGTTTTAAAATAATGCGCACTTGATATCGCTGTTTAAATATATTGGTTTGTTTTTTTTTAATAAAATACAACTGGAAAAATATGTATGTATGTGGCTACTCTACTGAAAATAAATATTTTTATACGAGACTGATTGAGAATCACTCAAAATTTCTTTTTAGACTAAAATATTCTTAAATGCTTACTGTTTCGAAATTTTTCTTGATTAGATTAAAATTTAAAGATGGTAACCCTACTCAAACAATATTCGTTACAAATGTGTTTTGAAATAACGCTCATTTAATATTCATATTTAAATATTTTTTGTTCTAATTTTTTTATTTTTTAATAAACTTTTGTTTTCAAAATATGTGCGTTTCCAAATACTTTCAGAGTCTTTATAGAATAAAATATTTTCTAAAACGCTCCCTAGTTCGAAAATTTTTTAAGGTATTTGATTAGATTAAAATTTTGCATAGGCGGTAACCTTATTCGAAAAAAGTTCATTTCAAATGTGCTTGGAAATACCACTCATTTGATATAATTTATTTTTTAATAAATTGTAATTGTTAACAAAAAATTTGCTGAATCTAGGTATGTAGTTTAAAATAACGCTTGTTTGAGCTTAACATTAAAACATTTTTCAACAACAAAATGGTTTAAAAGAAGAAAGAATTAGGAAATTAATTCGATAACAAATAAAACTAAAAAATTTCTCAAAATAGTTAGGTAAGAACTTAAGACCTAAAGTAGATCATTTTTCCAAGAAAAGTTATAACAATTCCTAAAAACACCATCGGCGGCGTTGACAACATATTCCTATGAATTTTTTGTTCCGCAACATGTTGCTGGAACATAGTTTCTTAACAAAACACACCAACGTACTTACATTTATGTGTGACTTGTGTAGTGAGAAGGGTACGCATTGGCAATGGAACGCTGGAGCATTTTGAAAAGCTGAACACCACTTCTTTTTCTATGTACAAATGTTGGTGTGGTTGAGAGCGAAATTGAGACGGCGAGTTATTTCATTTGTTGCTATACATAAGATGTTTTGCCGGTTGTGTTTATGGCCTTTTTCGGTTGAAGACATATATTTGGGAGTGTGTGTTTGTGTTTGTTGACAATGCCCACATTTTATTGACACTTTTGTTTTGATCGCCTGCTTTATCGTGCAACACCTGCCATGACACCTTCGATGGCAATGGGGACGCCTAAGAAAGATTATGGAGTGCCAGCTAATATACGTGCGGCGTGCATTAACACAACTTCTCTGCTAAAAGGGGAGCACATTTTCGGGGTGGAGAACGAACTACTCAAGATATTTGTAAAGAAATTATGCATGCACGTATTTAATTTAGTAGGATACAAAATCTTTCTTATCTTCTAAAGAACCTTTTCAAGAAGTCCCGTTTCAAACCGGAACAAATTTGTCTCGACTGGGTTCCGAGACACTCGATCAATATATTATGACGATAAGTGTCTTCGTGTCACCATTATGCAGATTTTGTGTACGGCATTCCTTATACTAAGTTCGATCAACAATTCGGATTCATTAAGTACAATAGGCAAAAATTACTGGGTGCTTGGAAAATCAGTCTTACCCGGTATTCAGTCTTATATCTGATTTACTTATGCATGATTAAGTCAGCTCTTCCAACGAAATCCTTTCTAGACCGTCTACAAGGTAGTGGTATTCCTAGAATCTGAGTTTCAGAGATGAATGGAAGTCGACCGCAGTCCAGAGGTTGAGGTCATTCACATATGCGTGGATTGATTGGAACTCAATGGAAGGCTAGAAGGCGGTGTTTATTTGGAATATTTTGGTACATCATTCTACCTGATTACTATTCTTTCAGGCGGAGATGATGACCATTTACGGTACAGTGCAATGAATTTCACATTTTCACTGACAGCAGGCAGCTATCAAAGGCTTTGAACAAAGTTTGCTTAGTCCCCTTTCAAACACGTCAAGTCTTGAAAGAAATTTTAATCGCATTCTCTTTTGTGTTTTCTCTTTGCTTCCACACGCATCAAGTTTTATTGAATTCAACTACTTGGTTCTTTAAACGGGAAGCAACGAAAAGATCAAAAGTGAACAAGAAAACTTGAAACGAATTTACGGTACGGAGGTATCTGTACTCTTCCCCTCTCTTCCCACCTCCTTCACCAACAAACGAGCAGACTTGAAAGCAAGACTTGACGTGTCTGAAAGGGGACTTACTTCTAAAGTAGCCGTGAAATGCCGCCTATCGCAGAGACATTTCGAAAGCCCGTATAAGTAATGTCTGTCCCTTTCGGGACTGTATTCCTATGCATTATTATAAATATTTGTTAGCTTCGGCAGGTGCGGGATTCTCGATGACCGCCAGAGGCGACACGTAATTTTTTTATTTATTTTATTTATTATTATCGAAGTGTAGAGTATAAACGTGTTCAAACGAAAAAATCGGTCACGAAAAATGTTTTTAATGTAAACAAAACTTTGGTTAATATTACCACATCGTTGTTGAAAATATCAACCAAGGCATTGTAATATGAAACAAAAATCACATTGATGCCTTTTCAGGTTTGCATTTGGTAATATAAAACAATTTCTGGTTAATTGTTTTCTCAGTGATAAATAAACATATGAGTTTTCCTAATATATAAATTATTAAGAAAAACCTTTTTTCTAATTAAATTTCTTTAAAAATATGTCACTAAAAATCGCTTTATGTTTAATATGCAATTTATTCTGCTTTTTTTTAAATATTTGTTCTCCTAAAAAACTTTCATTTTTTTTATAAATTTTTTCAAAAATTATATATTTCTTCAAAAAATG